TATATCATTGTCAGAGAAGGATTATTCCTGATTTTCAATTATATATCTCACATATTGGGCAATATTTTCGATCAAAAGTCAACTATAGATACAGGAGTTAGGAACCTAGCCGTTTGAGCAGTTTTTGTTGGATTTGGACAATTTTTTGGTTGTAAGATGGCACTAAGGCATTATTCGTACAAAGTTTTAGCTCCTTATATACATTTATTCTTGATTTGTGTATTGAAAAGTGAAAGTGGTTTAGGAGATATATACGTTAAACATATTAGAGGTCGGGGCCACTCCCACTTTTTCAAAATTTTTTACCCACAGATGCACCTTGCTACTGTGATCCCCGGGGACAAATTACAGCTTTATTTCTTAATTTAGTGCTTAGTTATGGCAGTTTATTGGTTTTCGGTTAATGACGTTTTGTGAGCGTGGCAGCGGTCCGATTACGCCCATCTACGCATTTTTGTACTAAGAAACCTGTATAGTACCAAGTTTCATCAAGATATCTCAATTTTTATTCAGGTTACAGCTTGCACGGACGGTCGGATAGACAAACAGGCACCCGGATTTCAACTCTTCTCGTCATCTTGATCATTTATATTTATATATATAACCCAATCTCGCTTAGTTTTAGGTGATACGTACAACCGTTAGGTGAACAAAACTATAATACAGGTTGCAAGAGTATAAAAAATATATTTAACAAGCTTGCATTAAAAATTGAGGCTAATCGGTTTAGACATTTTCGAGTAATGTCGATCACCGACTTTGATTTTTTCATCATTTTGAAAAAAAAAACAAACGCGTTTAAAGTTTGGAATGCACTTCCAAGCACTGTGAAACACTTTTCAAATTTTCGTGGAACTCCAAAACTCTTCACCGGAACGATGTGAAAAATTAAAATAAAAAAATATATTTTTTCAAAATTCTGATTGTGTATAACCCCTAAATGCTTCACATTATATGATATAAATTTTATCTTTATGGACAATTTTGTAAAACTTCATACAGAAATAAGTTATGTCAAGGTTCAAATTTGCCATAATTGGAAACTAATATTCCAAGCTTAATATTTTTCGTAAGTTAAACATAGTGCTAGACAATTATCCAATGCATACTACTTACTAACATACTAAAATGTTTTCTTGTAATATTAAGGAATCTTTAATACATAAGAGCTGCGAAAATATTTTCGAAATCAAAAATGCCGCGCACTAAAAATTCCAAATGCACATCTACCTGCATAAATACATATAACTCAAATTGGCTATTTTTGAAACCATTATACATCATACAGAAGTTCTTAAAACTTTACTTTTTAATTTCACAACACAACGTATAAGCATTCATACATACATACTACAAAGTAATGATCATACAAAAATACTAAAATCATTATTATATACATACATACGATTCATAAACATATGCCGCACTTGAATAGCATTCACTCGATATACATTGCTAAGCGCTTCTTTGCACTGCATGTCGTTTTAATTCTTAGTTGCACCTTTAAACGTTGAGAGTTTCGTTATTTTGAAAAGACCATCATCTCTATGGAAACTATTGAGCGTGATTCATGGTACGACTCTAACGCTATTAATTCTAATTGGATGTTTTTATTGTTGTAATATGTTGTAAGCTGACTCTTTGGCTGTATACTTAATTGGCTTTGCTCTCGTACAATTTCGTGTTATTTCAATTATATAGTAAATTATTGAAAATTATGTAATATTACAAATCAAAATGTGCTATTTTCATTTTGCATGCTTACGCGGAATTTAGACAAAGTTTGGCGCACGTTGTAAAGCTTGGAACTTAGCGCCCTACAATCCAGAGTTGCCACCTTGCATACGTGTTCGCTTGGAAGAGACATTGAACCTGCCGCAGGGCAATGTAAGCATCACGGATAAAAAATCTTTGCAGAGGTGAGTTGGAATTTTTTTAAAATTTTTTTAA